ATGAGGTTAATTCTGGGTAAGTTGTAAGTTGATATAATTTTGTAGACACACAGTTATGTCTATGTCTATCTGTCTGTCTGTCTGATTAAAAAAAATGTAAGGAATGTCTACATTTCACAGAACTGGGGGTTCAGATCTCAGAATCAGAATTTTGATCATTTTAAGAGAGAGCTTAACTGGGACCACAGTTAGATTGCAAGTTTCAATTTCTTTTTATTCCTTTGGCTACCAAAATAGGTTCCAAAGTTTGTGGGCTGTATTGCCTTCCTCAATCGACCTGTCGAATTCAGGATCCTCAAAAGAACCCGTAAATGAACTAAGATGTATTAACAGAGTGACAGGCAATTCTCTGGCAGGGTTCTTACCAGCTTGCCGTAAGAGGAATCTTAATCCAAAGAGAGACAGGAACCTTGTGCTTGAATACAAGGTGTTGGGAGATCTATCAGCTTCTTATGGCAGATAGAGAATATATATATACCCAGCTCAAAGAAAAAAAAATCGACATTTTCACAAGGGAGATGGGGTTTGTCATATAAGCATAGAGAGGCTCTAAAATGTTCTATTCAGTCCACCTTCCTCTCTCACAGCAGAGAGATGCAGATGTTACATCATGCCATGCCTCCTTGTAGTGGGTTTTACACGACTTCCATCAACCCCCTTGTAAACTGGCATGACGTAATGTAACAGCTGTATCTCTCTGCTCTGAGAGCTTAAGGGAAGATGGACTGAGCAGAACATTTTGATAGCACTTCTACAGTAGATAGCTCTTCCTGCAACCAGTCAGTGCCAGGACCTGGATAGCTCCAAAAGCTAATCCATTCTATATAGTCACCTGGAAAGTGTGAAGATTTGTGAGTTTAATTCCCTGCAGATCAGTGCTTCTCAGACTTGGCTGGGAAATTCTGGGAGTTGAGGTCCACATGTCTTAAAGTTGCCAAGTCTGAGAAACCCTGACGTAGGTGGTTTCAACCCATAAGATAACCTCTGGCTATCCCTGTCTGAGGAGCCTCAGTAAGGATGAACCCAGTCCCGTGGTGCCTCCTGGCGGTCAAGGTAAGTGAAAACAAGCAAAGGGAGACAGCCTGGTTTCATTTTTCTTTGCTAGACATAGGAAGATGCTGAATCCTTTAAAATCGGGCAGAACAGCAAAAGCTGTGGACCGGGGCATTGAAAAGAGGGTTCTCTGTTGCTATCCAGAGTCTCTGATGTACAGAGTGCAGCATGGATGTGCGAAGATCCTATAGGATGTCCAAGTATCCTGTATCTGTTTCAAAGGAATTCTAGTCCTGAATAATTTTTACCTTCTTATAATGCTCTCTCCCAAAATCTTGGTAGCCCCTTTTCTGACAAACACATTTGATTAAAAAGCATAAACTAATACGATGTGTTAGTGGGAAAAAGTGCTACATGACCCCTCCTGGTTTTTTGCTACCATAAGCTAACACACCTCTCCTCCTCCAGCGAACCACCCTTCACACTTTTTGTAGCCGAACAGCACCATCCTGTGGTCTAGCCAGAGCATGACATTTGCTTTTTGAATCTTTTTTTCCTTTTTGTAAGCTAGATCATCGTGATGTGAACAGTTCCATCATTTAGTTCCCGGGTTACTGGATGTTTGCCTTTTAAGATTATAAAGCTAAAAAAGAGGATTTATGTTTCTTTTTAAAATTTTTCTTTAATAAAATTTCATCTATCTCTTGTGAGATTAGCCTGTCTCCCAAAGGGGGAAAAGAAGGGCTGGATTCTGTAGCCACGTGTGTCTCACTGTAAGCTACGGAGCCGGGCAGCCGCACTGTAGAAACCATTTCATTGTTTTCCTTTTAAGTGCAGAAAGGTAGCACAAATGGTGAGATCCCCATCTCCCTCAATCTCCAGGGTTACATGGAGGACACCACGTAAAGCATTCTTAGAAGAGAGATGCTCGAAACTACCAAAGCAGATACTCCAAGGCAGAAGGGTGTAGCCAGGGCATGCAGACCTAGAGGATGTCTGGGAGACGGGGGTCGAGACCAGCTTTCTACCCTACAGGCTCAACCATGCTGCCATCAGCAGCATGGGCTACACCTGGAGAAATGAAATGCTGTAGGGATAACCGAACGGGGACGTGGTGGCGCAGCAGCTTAATGACACTGAAAGTTTCCGGCCAGAAACAGTCGACAATTCAGCGGTTCGAGCCCAGCTCCACGCAGCAGAGTGAGCTCCTGCTTCCTCCCCCAGCTCCTGCCAACCCAGCAGCTCGAAAACTTATGTCAGTAGATAAATGGGGACTCTCACCCCCGTGGGAGGAAAAATGCTGGCGGCGCTTGCACGGGAGATGGGAGCAGTTGCCGGTAACGCGGAAGCTGCGCACGCCCGAAAAAGGCGTGAAGCAACGGAAACCCCGCCTCCTGCGCTCGCCAGCTGGGCTCCGCTCTAGGAAGGAGGCCCTGGCAAATCACTTCCGAAACACCTTGCCTTGAAAACTGCAGGGACGCGTCCAGGCAGTCGCCGCAGAATCGGTCACGATTGAGTGCGGATTATTAAAAAAAAAAAAAGAGGGATAAGCGAGCAATGGCCAGAGAACTGAAGCGTCAGCATTCATTCATTGGCGATTCAACACAAGGAGAAGCGGAATGCGTAAAAGAAGGAGATGAATGCACTTGTTTTCTGTAGGTTGCAGTTCAGTGCCTGTGGCCTGAAGTTTGGCTTGTTCTGATATACTATCACACGCACAGGCACACGCACACGCACACACACGAGCATTCAGTAGCTGAGCACACAAACTGCAAAATTCTATGGCTGGTTCAACCATGGTTTGCTGAATAAGTCATGATTCATAAATCACATTAAAGCATAAACCATAGCTTACAAGCCACAACGGTTGGGTTCACACACCCTAATGCCAAACCAAACAAGCCATGTTATGGTTAGTCCACGTCAAGGAAAAAAAACTAGTCCTTGCAGTCTTCTAATGAAGCTGTGTGGTTTCTGACTATAATGAGACTAAAGGCATGTTTTAAAGATCAGCATACCTTTAATGAATCAGAAGGAGTAGAATTAATGCAAATGTAATTACTGTTTGCCTTTTTCAGGATGGAAAAGCGAGAGTGCTGCAGTGAGAGACATTTGTTGTTCCACCTTAAAATTGTGGGGAAAATTTGCCAAAATGACACGTTCATAGCAAACAGCGCCATCTGGTGGTGGATTGCTTTTTAATTGGCCCATGCTAGAAAACAAACATCTGTATCAGACTATCAAGGCACTTAATGGAAGGAACAAACCATAGTTAAGGAATAAGGCATATGCTTTCAGGCCCACGTGGACAGATTCAGTAGTACCTGGATTATGTATTAGTTAAAGCCACTTTTTTTATCCTACTATTTTTAGAATTTTTTATTTTTATTCTGCTATTCGATTAAAAAAAAAAACTTCCAGAGTAAACTAGTTTTAGGCTGCAAACTGGATCCAAACAATACTGTACAATACATCACAATTACTGTAGTTAAAGTGTGGTGTGCAATGGTGCATGTGTGAGATGGTTGAGTAGATTCATTAACTGGATTTCTGTGGTTTAGTGGGTCCTGTTCCTAACCCGCGAAAAGAACGGAAGTCATGTCCACCGACTTGCAATTTAAAGACAAAGATGAGGAGCTTGGGACGCAGGGCGCATAGCACAGAAGCAGCCAGATCCTCTCCAAAAAGTCTAAACCAGTGTTTTGTTTCCCCCCTTATACCCTTTTAATTTTTGGCTTTTTTTTTCAACCCCCCTCCCCATCTTTCTTGTGTTCTCTGTTGTGTTTTAGCTAAATT